ACATGTTTTGGGGTCACAGGGGTGCCACCTCCCAGTACTGCCAGCCCCGTTCTCTCCATGCACAGTGGGGTACAGGGATGTCACCTCTCAAACCTCCCACGTGTTTTGGGGTCACAAGGATGTCACCTCCTCACCCTCCCACATATTTTGGGGTCACAGGGGTGCCACCTCCCTGACCTTCCAGCCCCATCCCATCCACATGTTTTGGGGTCACAGGGATGCCACCTCTCAATTCTGCCAGCCCCATTCTCTCCATGCACAGTGGGGCACAGGGATGTCACCTCTCCAACCTCCCACGTGTTTTGGGATCACAGAGATTCCACCTCCCTGAGCTCCCACATGTTTTGAGGTCACAGGGGTGACACCTGCCTGAGCTCCCTCATGTTTTTGGGTCACAGGGATGTCACCACTCCAACCAACCTCCCATGTGTTCTGGGGTCACAGGGATGTCACCTCTCTGACTCCCATGTGTTCTGGGGTCACAGGGATGCCACCTCCTCAACCTCCCACATATTTTGGGGTCACAGGAATGTCACCTCCCAGTACTGCCAGCCCCATTCTATCCATGCACAGTGGGGTCACAGGGATGTCACCTGCCCAACCTCCCACATATTTTGGGGTCACAGAGATGCCACCTCCTCAACCTCCCACATGTTCTGGGGTCACAGAGATGCCACCTCCCCAACTTCCCACACATTTTGGGGTCACAGAGATGCCACCTCCCCAACATCCCACACGTTTTGGGGTCACAGGGATGCCACCTCCTGGCCCTCCCAGCCCTGCCCTGCCCTCGCTGACGCTGTCCCCGCGCTGTCCCCGCAGGCTGACGGACGCGGACCGGCAGCGGCTGTGGGAGAAGCGCTGCCACTGCCACGCGTCCCCCGGCGCCCTGCCCATGCTGCTGGCCAGTGCCCCCAGCTGGGACTGGGGCTGCCTGCCCGACATCTACGCCCTGCTCAGCCAGTGGAGCTCCATGAGCCACCAGGACGCCCTGGGGCTGCTGCACGCCACGTAAGCCACCCGCGGGCAGCGGGGACACCCCTGTGCCCTGTGGCGTTGTCACCCCACTGTCGGAATCCGTGGTATTGATGATTCTGAGATTGTAAAAGTCTCTGTCTGTCAGCCCCCTGCCAAAGCAGAAGCCATCATTGGTCTGTGCTGGTTTCCAGGTTGTTTATTCTGTTTATCTCTCACATGTTCTGCTGCCCTGCCCAGCTCTGTCCTGCAGGGCAGCGTGTGGGGCTCTGCCCTCAGTGGGATGTGGCAAACATTCAATACCAGAAACTCCCTGGGCTGGATTTACAAGAACGTGCCAATATCTGTCACCTCCGTTGGACAGTGTGTCCCCAGCCTGAACCAACAGAAAAATGCCAACACCACAGTGAGACTTGGAGGGCATGAAGAAGGAGAAAAAGGACAAGGCACACCCAATTTCCTCCATCTTGTCCCCTTTGGACCCCTCATCTAGAATCCTAAAATTTTACTTTTGCACCCGTGCCACACTTAATTATTCCTTATATCAAACCCTCATAGCTGGTAATTGATCCTGTAAGATTGGAAACTCTTTTCCATGGGCAGAGATCACAGCCAGTGTTTCTGGGGGCTCTGTCCAGGGGGGTTCCTGACCTCTGCCAGGGTCCCAGGGCAGCCAGGGGGAAGCTCTGCATTCCCACAGCCCACGGAATGTGTCCTGGCTGCAGGTTCCCTGACCAGGAGGTGAGGAGGACGGCCGTGCAGTGGATCGACTCCATCTCGGACACGGAGCTGCTGGATTACCTGCCCCAGCTGGTCCAGGTGTGTGGTGGCACCGGGATGTGCCACGGGGTGCCCGCCGGTGCCACCACAGCCCTGTGATGTTGTCCCCTGTGCAGGCCCTCAAGTACGAGTGCTACCTGGACAGCCCCCTGGTGCGCTTCCTCATGAAGAGGGCCATTTGTGACCTGAAGATCACCCACTACTTCTTCTGGTGGGTTCTTCTGGGGGGCTCTGGGAGCGGCGGGGGCACCCTGGGGCTGGCCTGACCCCAACGTGTCCCAAGCTGGGCAGGACTCTGAGCCTGGCCTGACCCTGCATGTCCCCAGTCTGGTGGAGTCCCAAACCTGGCCTGACCCTGCATGTCCCCAGTCTGGTGGAGTCCCAAACCTGGCCTGACCCTGCATGTCCTCAAGCCAGAGGGGACCCTGAGGCCAGCTCGACCCTGCATGTCCCAAATCTGGTGGGGTTCCCGAGCCTGCCTGACCCCATGTGTCCCCAAACTGGGTGAAACCCTGAGCCTGGCCTGACCCTCTATGTCCCTAGACCAGAGGCGACCCTGAGGCCAGCTCGACCCTGCATGTCCCCCAAGACAGGGGACACCCTGAACCTGGCCTGATCCCACATGTCCCCAAGCTGAGCAGGACTCTGAGCCTGCCCTGACCCTGTGTGTCCCCAAACCAGGCGAGACCCTGAGCCTGGCCTGACCCTCCATGTCCCCAAGGCAGAGGGGACCCTGAGCCTGGCCTGACCCCAGATGTCCCCAGACCAGAAAGGACCCTGAGGGCAGCTTGACCCTCCATGCCCCCAAATCAGAGGGGACCCTGAGGCCAACCTGACCCTTCATGTCCCCAAGCTGAGGGCCACCCTGAGGCTGGCCCGACCCCGGGTGTCCCCAAGCCAAGGGTGACCCTCAGCCTACCCTGACCCCACATGTCCCCAAACCGGGCAAGACCCTGAGGCTGGCCTGACCCTCCATGTCCCCAAACCAGAGGAGACCCTGAGGCTGGCCTGACCCTCCATGTCCCCAAGCCGAGGGCCACCCTGAGGCTGGCCTGACCGCGGGTGTCCCCAGCAGGCTGCTGAAGGATGGCCTCAAGGACTCGCAGTTCAGCATCCGGTACCAGTACCTGCTGGCAGCGCTGCTGTGCTGCTGCGGGAAGGGGCTGCGCGAGGAGTTCGACCGGCAGTGCCTGCTGGTCAGCACACTGGCCAGGCTGGCACAGCAGGTCCGGGACGCCGCCCCATCCGCCCGCCAGGTGGGTGCCGGGGTGCCGGGAGGGGTGCAGGGGGTGCCAGCCCCCTGTGCCACACTCGCCCCTCCTCTCCCGTGCCCACCTCGTCCTGTCACGTTCCTGCCCTATCCCATGTCCACACAGGGGTTTGCCCGCTATATTCCGTGCATGCTCCATCCCATGTTAACCCCTTGCCATGCCCACCCCTCTCTGTCCCATTTCTATCCCATGGTCACCATGTTCCTTGCCCATCCCATCCCATCCCATCCCATCCCATCCCATCCCATCCCATCCCATCCCATGCCATTCCCACCTTGTCCCTTGCCCATCCTACCCCATTCCCGTGGATCCTATCCCATCCCTTTCCCATGGATCCTATCCTATTCCCATGGATCCCACCCCATTCCTGTGGATTCTACCCCATTCCCGTGGATCCCAACCCATTCCCATGGATCCCATCCTATTCCCATGGATCCCACCCCGTTCCCGTGGATCCCACCCCATTCCCGCGGATCCCAACCCATTCCCGTGGATCCTACCCCATTCCCGTGGATCCCATTCCCATGGATCCCACCCCATTCCTGTGGATCCCACCCTATTCCCATCAATCCCACCCCATTGGCGTGGATCCCACCCCATTCCTGTGGATCCCACCGCGTTCCCGTGGATCCCACCCCGTTCCCGTGGATCCCACCCCATTCTCATCGATCCCACCCCATTCCCGTGGATTCCACCCCATTCTCATTGATCCCACCCCATTCCCATCAATCCCACCCCATTCCCGTGGATCCCACCGCGTTCCTGTGGATCCCACCCCATTCCCATGGATCCCACCCCGTTCCCGTGGATCCCACCCCATTCCCATGGATCCCACCCCGTTCCCGTGGATCCCACCCCANCCACCCCATTCCCATGGATCCCACCCCGTTCCCGTGGATCCCACCCCATTCCCATGGATCCCACCCCGTTCCCGTGGATCCCACCCCATTCCCATCAATCCCACCCCATTCCTGCGGATCCCACCTCATTCCCGTGGATCCCACCGCATTCCCATGGATCCCACCCCATTCCCGTGGATCCCATTCCCGCGGATCCCACCCGCTCCCGCCCCGCAGGCCATCCTGCGCGAGGGGCTGGAGGACGTGGCGCAGTTCTTCAAGGCGCACGGCTCGTGCCGGCTGCCGCTCAGCCCCAGCCTGCTGGTCAAGGGCATCGTGCCGCGGGTGAGTGCCGGCCCGGGGGCTCGGGGGGCTCGGGGGGCTCCTCTGCCCGCCCCCCGCTCGCCCTGACCACCCGGCCCTCCTCCTTCCCACGGCAGGACTGCTCCTACTTCAACTCCAACGCCGTCCCGCTGAAGCTCTCCTTCCAGAACGTGGATCCGCTCGGGGAGAACATCCGCGTCATCTTCAAGGTGAGCCCGGCGCCTTCGGAAATGCCAAACCCTGGCACAGCCCCATGAGAATCCCCCTGCTCTGGGCTCGGAGGGCTCTGCTGGCTCCTCCCTGGCTCTGGTGGCTCTGGTGCCTCTGATGGTGGCTTTGGTGGCTCTAATGGCTCTGGTGGCTCTGATGGTTCTCCTCTGGCTCTGGTGGTTCCTCCCTGGCTCTGGTGGCTCTGATGGTGGCTTTGGTGGCCCTGATGGCTCCTCCCCTGGCCTTGATGATTCTCCCCTGGCTCTGGTGGCTCTGGTGGCTCTTCCCCTGACCCTGATGGTTCTCCCCTGGCTCTGGTGGCTCTGGTGGCTCTGATGGTGGCTTTGGTGACCCTGTTGGCTCCTCCCCTGGCCCTGATGATTCTCCCCTGGCTCTGGTGGCTCCTCCCCTGGCTCTGATGGCTCTGATGGCTCTGGTGACTCCTCCTCTGGCTCTGCTGGTTCTCCCCTGGCCCTGATGGTTCTCTCCTGGCCCTGATGGTTCTCCCTTGGCTCTGATGATTCTCCTCTGGCCCTGATGGTTCTCCCCTGACCCTGATGGTTCTCCCCTGGCCCTGATGGTTCTCCCCTGGCCCTGATGGTTCTCCCCTGGC